CCCTATATAAACTATAGTAAAGTTTACCCCCTCCAGAGGGGGAAACGTGAGACCCGAGGGTCATGAAATTCACAATTTCGGTAAAGCACCTTAAGACCCTTCCATCTATGAAGAGTATTTGATTCTACCATATCTGGATTCTTGAGAAGAAGATTTTTGAAATTTTAGTCAATTCGACCCTTTTTGGCCCTGTCCCTCAGGCCCCTGGGGGCTTATGACTAAACCGGCCACTATATTTGTTGACCTTTGTCCATGGAAGGTCTCTGCAAAATTTCATCGAAATTGGTTCAGGGGTTTTGGAGAAGAAGATTTTTGAAATTTTAGTCAATTTGACCCTTTTTGGCCCCGCCCCTCAGGCCCCTGGGGGCTTAGGACCAAAACGGCAACTATTTTTGTTGACCTTTGTCCATGGAAGGTCCCTGCAAAATTTCATTGAAATTGGTTCAGGGGTTTTGGAGAAGAGGTCGAAAATGTAAATTGTTTACAGCCGCACGACGGACGACGACGGATGACGACGGACAAATGGCGATCGCAATAGGTCACTTGAGACTTTGTCTCAGGTGACCTAAAAAATCTCAATAGGCAAGTCTGAAATCTTTGTCCCAGTGACATTTAACGTCAAGAATTCGACCTGAATGTTTTTTGGTTTTTTTTTACAAATGAACCAGGTGTTTCTATAATGCAGTTACATAAATAACATCAATCCAGACCACTTTACCTGTTCATGGGCTGCCATAATTCCCAAAGTCAGGAGTGGAATAACTAAATTAAGGTCAGTCTGAATAAATAAATGTGATCTTACTCAGATTACAGTGACTTACCCCTGGTTGTGGATTTAGCTAGCAGACGACCATCTGTTCCCAGTAGCATGTCTGTTACCGTCTCTATCCCGTCGTCATGGGTAACAACCTTGTGCTGCTGTGTCCCATCATAGTTCTTGACACTGAAGGTCAGTGTAGATGGAGACTTGACTGGTGTAAACCCCTTCTCCATCTTGACCATTACTGGTGGAGGTGCTATGTAATTGTTGGTATGATTAGTCTGGAAGTAAAATATTACAGTAAGGCTATCACAAGGTATCAGCAACACCCATAAATATGTACACTGTATCACAATCACTTTTGAAAGCTTATTTCATACATCAGTCTGCAGAGGTATTTTAACTTTGCCAAATACTACACAGTCTAAAAGAGGTACTTATAATCATACAGCAGGCTTTACCAGCTATAGTAACAACGATTGGTTATAATCATATCGCAGGCTTTACCAGCTATAGCAACGACGATTGGTTATAATCATACAGAAGGCTTCCCCAGCTATAGTAACGACGACTGGTTATAATCATACAGCAGGCTCTACCAGCTATAGTAACAACGATTGCTTATAATCAAACAGCAGGCTTTATCAGCTATAGTAATGACGATTGGTTATAATCAGACAGCAGGCTTTACCAGCTATAGTAATGACGATTGGTTATAATCAGACAGCAGGCTTTACCAGCTATAGTAAGGACGATTGGTTATAATCATACAGAAGGCTTCCCCAGCTATAGTAACGACGACTGGTTATAATCATACAGCAGGCTCTACCAGCTATAGTAACAACGATTGGCTATAATCATACAGCAGGCTTTATCAGCTATAGTAACGACGATTGGTTCTAATCATACAGCAGGCTTTACGAGCTATAGTAACAGCGATTGGTTATAATCATATCGCAGGCTTTTCCAGCTATAGTAACGACGATTGGTTCTAATCATACAGCAGGCTTTACGAGCTATAGTAACAGCGATTGGTTATAATCATATCGCAGGCTTTTCCAGCTATAGTAACGACGATTGGTTATTATCATACAGCAGGCTTTACAACACCGTATTCTTCAGTATGTGAGTATACAGCCCCGTCTTCTTCAGTACGCGAGTATCCAGCACCGTCTTCCTCAGTACACGAGTATACAGCACCGTCTTTTTCAGTATGCGAGTATACAGCACTGTCTTCCTCAGTACGAGCTATAGTAATGACATTTGGTTATAATCAAACAGCAGGCTTTACCAACTATAGTAACTACGATTGGTTATAATCATACAGCAGGCTCTACCAGCTATAGTAACAACGATAGGTTATAATCATACAGCAGGCTCTACCAGCTATAGTAACAACGATAGGTTATAATCATACAGCAGGCTCTACCAGCTATAGTAACAACGATTGCTTATAATCATACAGCAGGCTTTCCCAGCTATAGTAACAACGATTGAGGATAATCATACAGCAGGCTTTCCCAGCTATAGTAACAACGATTGGTATTTCATACATCAGTCTGCAGAGGTATTTTAACTTTACCAAATACTACACAGTCTAAAAAAGGTACTTATAATCATACAGCAGCCTTTACCAGCTATAGTAACAACGATCGGTTATAATCAAACAGCAGGCTTTATCAGCTATAGTAACGACGATTGGTTATTATCATACAGCAGGCTTTACCAGCCATAGTAACAACGATTGGTTATAATCATATCGCAGGCTTTACCAGCTATAGTAACGACGATTGGTTATTATCATACAGCAGGCTTTACAACACCGTCTTCTTCAGTATGTGAGTATACAGCACCGTCTTCTTCAGTACGCGAGTATACAGCACCGTCTTCCTCAGTACGCGAGTATACAGCACGGTCTTCTTCAGTACACGAGTATACAGCACTGTCTTCCTCAGTACGCGAGTATACAACACGGTCCTCTTCAGTTACGAGTATACAGCACTGTCTTCTTCAGTACACGAGTATACAGCACCGTCTTCTTCAGTACGTGAGTATACAGCACCGTCTTCTTCAGTACGTGAGTATACAGCACGGTCTTCTTCAGTACATGAGTATACAGCACCGTCTTCTTCAGTACACGAGTATACAGCACTGTCTTCTTCAGTACGTGAGTATACAGCACCGTCTTCTTCAGTACGTGAGTATACAGCACCGTCTTCCTGGTTATAATCATACAGCAGGCTTTACCAGCTATAGTAAAGACGTTTGGTTCAATGACAATTCTATGTCTATTTGTCTATGTCTTCCTCAGTACGCGAGTATACAGCACCGTCTTCCTCAGTACGCGAGTATACAGCACGGTCTTCTTCAGTACACGAGTATACAGCACCGTCTTCCTCAGTACGCGAGTATACAGCACGGTCTTCTTCAGTCACCAGTATACAGCACTGTCTTCTTCAGTACACGAGTATACAGCACCGTCTTCTTCAGTACGTGAGTATACAGCACCGTCTTCTTCAGTACGTGAGTATACAGCACGGTCTTCTTCAGTACGTGAGTATACAGCACTGTCTTCTTCAATACACGAGTATACAGCACAGTCTTCTTCAGTACGTGAGTATACAGCACCGTCTTCTTCAGTACACGAGTATACAGCACTGTCTTCTTCAGTACACGAGTATACAGCACCGTCTTCTTCAGTACGTGAGTATACAGCACTGCTTCTTCAGTACGCGAGTATACAGCACTGTCTTCCTCAGTACGCGAGTATACAGCACCGTCTTCTTCAGTACGCGAGTATACAGCACTGTCTTCTTCAGTAAGCGAGTATACAGCACCGTCTTCTTCAGTACGCGAGTATACAGCACTGTCTTCTTCAGTACGCGAGTATACAGCACCGTCTTCTTCAGTACGCGAGTATACAGCACCGTCTTCTTCAGTACGCGAGTATACAGCACCGTCTTCTTCAGTACGCGAGTATACAGCACGGTCTTCATTAGTACGCGAGTATACAGCACCGTTTTGGGGCAGAAGTTGTCTAATTCACTTATTTAGATAACCGAAATATTGTAAAAAATGATAATAGTTTTAATTATCTTTCTAAATTCCCTTGTTGCTCAATAAAGCAGGTGTACTTATCATGTCAAATACCATACTTATATACACTAAGTGAACCATGATATCCCTGCAAAGTGGTAGAGACAGGTGAGTCTGCAGTATCGACTCCTGTAATGAGTCCTGTAATGTAATAAACTGTTTTCTTGCACCCTTGGAAAACATAGTACAACTAGTATAGCTAACTGATAATCAGAAATAACTAATATTGATACTGACCTTCCTGAGTGGACTTCCAAAACATATGTCCTTGGTTTTATTTAGCTGAGTAGGTCGTTGATGTGTTTGGCTTTGTTGCTGAATTTGACCCTGAGTTATAGACTGAACTTTGCCTGACCTCTGACCCGACCCTTGACCTGGATCCGGGCTTTCTTCTGCAGACTGATTGCTACTTCCTGTCACACTCTCCACGCTGCTTGTGGAGGATGTTCTTGAGATGTTGCTGTCACGACTTCCACTTCGGTAGTGGTGCCGGGTCTTGCTGCGGTCCCGGGTCCGCGACTTCCGTATCGTGAAGACCTTGTAGATGTCATCAAATCCTCGTGCCATTATACCCGTCGGTGTGTGCGCGAGGTCAAAGGTGTGTCCAAGTTCGTGGAGAGAAGCACCAAGCCCTGTTGCATAGTTGGCCCAATAATACTCTCTGTAATAAACCAGTCATAGAGCACAACAGTTGGCCTAATAATACTCACTGTAATAAATCAGTCATAGAGCACACCAGTTGGCCTAATAATACTCTCTGTAATAAATATAGTAACGACAATTGGTTATAATCATACAGCAGGCTTTACCAGCTATAGTAACGACGATTGGTTATAATCATATCGCAGGCTTTACCAGCTATAGTAACGACGATTGGTTATAATCATACANCAATACTACTCTCTGTAATAAACCAGTCATAGAGCACAATAGTTTAACTTGGTTCAATTCAACAGAAGTTATCAACAGTACATAAGGCAATCCGTTTTCATTATTTTAAAAATGATTTTTATTTTATACATTTGTACTTACTCTGTAGCATGCATGTAGCAAATGTATGCTAGATGTACGTTCAACTATTGGACACAAATTTGATAAGTACCCAATACTGTTGCATTAGCATTTATTCTTCCAAGAATTTTTTATTCAACATTGCTGCATAAAATGCGGAAAAACCGATGCAAGTAGCCACTAAGAATCCACTAGCCTGAAATAAAATTCTGCTAGTCCAACTAATACAAAATGGATCAAGCTGACAACATGATCACATGATCTATATCACATTCACAAATGGATATGATTTCCATTTAAAAGCTACAACTCCATATTGAATAACCGAATGCCTTTAAAGTTATTTAATCTTGAACCAAATAAAAAATCTATTTGTTACTGCACCTTAAATCAGCCTGGATACTAGATCTAGTATTAGAAAGCATCATCAGAAACAAACTTGTTGGAAAGCATGATTATTGGTGACTTTTGGAGAGATGAACTTTATTTGTGTACCCCACATGCTCATGTCAAATAAAAGAGAATGATTTGCACCAAAGAGGGCCATTTTAGTGGTTAGTATTGACTTTCAATGTGAATAGACTAGTAGATATATAGTACCTACTAGCACATCAAACACACAGGCAAAAAGCAACAGAACGTCAGTTATAACCACTAGCCCGGGCTAGTATTCCTCTATATTTCATGAGCTCAAGTCGAAAATCTGGTATACGTAGCCAGGAGATTTTTATACCCCTGAAAAATCCTTTGAACTTTTTGCCTTTCTGACAGAAATACAGTTGGAATCACAATTAAGGTGTTACATAAAATGTCTACGAATTTATGTCTCAATGGTGGAAGGATTGTCATTTCCCAGCAACCTAGTAACAAAGTTTACAGCTGGGTAGACTAAAAGACGATCTAGTCGAAATTACCTTTGGTCGAGAGCACACTATATGTATATGTGTTGTCCCAAACAACAATGTCTCAATCACTACGGTCAACAGCTGTGATATATATGATAACAAAATTGTCATATTTAGGTAATGAGCTATGAGAACATTTGTATTTTTCACATTTTTATTAACAATTGTTCTAGATACAAGAAGTATTCACTCAGAATTTTGGTGTGGAATCTGAAATTCTGAAAAAGATCCCATGAATATTTTCCAAGTGTTTCTTTTTCAAAATAAGGTATATCAAACAGTGGGTAAACACTGGTATTGACACCTGTGTAACCCGACATTCTGTGACATACAGCAACAAGGTAAGATTTAGACACGATGTCAGAAAGCACTGATCTTACATGGTAGTTCTCACGGCAAATACATAGCATTATGGCTGATTAGACAGGCTATCAGAGCACTCCTTGGATGGGCTAGACAAGTTTTACAAAATAATTCATAGACTTTTATCTAATGCATTAACTTGTGATAGCAACTCAGCCTGTGTCAGTTCCTGTACATTCTATCCTACATCAATACACCTGCGGACTCTTTACCTGTAAGCACTGTCATCCATGAGTTCATTACGATCAATCTTCTTGTTGTTCGTGAAGTAGGCATACACCTGTTCCACTGAGGGAGCCCAGGTGTGAAGATTACCAGTCCCAAAAAGGGCAAGACCCCCACCTCCTAAAACACAAATATTTCAAAATAAATTATTTAAACATAGCTACCCATATAGGTAATACATTTTTTGTAGAAAATAAAACTTTCAAGATATAGTCTGTGGACTCCGACGGTGGCCAGTTATTACAGTTCTATTTCAATATGACCTGTATAAATTAAAGATAACCTGTCTACATAAATAATTTACCCTATTCACTAATTCGGACTAGTTCAAACTAAGCTCTACTGTGTATCCTCTGTATAAAGACCTGTTGATAAAGACAACTAAATCCAGTTCACTCTGGTTTAACCTAAGCTCTATTTTGTATCCTCTGTATAAATACCTGTTGATAAAGACCACTAATTCCAGTTCACACTGGTTTATACTAAGCTCTATTATGTATCCTCTGTATAAATACCTGTTGATAAAGACCACTAATTCCAGTTCACACTGGTTTATACTAAGCTCTATTGTGTATCCTCTGTATAAATACCTGTTGATAAAGACCACTAATTCCAGTTCACACTGGTTTATACTAAGCTCTATTATGTATCCTCTGTATAAATACCTGTTGATAAAGACCACTAATTCCAGTTCACACTGGTTTATACTAAGCTCTATTGTGTATCCTCTGTATAAATACCTGTTGATAAAGACCACTAATTCCAGTTCACACTGGTTTATACTAAGCTCTATTGTGTATCCTCTGTAAAAAGACCTGTTGACAAAGACCACTAATTCCAGCTCACTCTGGTTTATACTAAGCTCTATTTTGTGTCCTCTGTATAAATACCTGTTGATCACGACCACTTATTCCAGCTCAATCTGGTTTATACTAAGCTCTATTTTGTATCATTTGTAAAAAGACCTGTTGATAAAGACCACTAAATCCAGTTCACTCTGGTTTAAACTAAGCTCTATTTTGTATCCTCTGTATAAATGCCTGTTGATGAAGACCATTAATTCCAGTTCACTCTGGTTTATACTAACCTCTATTTTGTATCCACTGTATAAATACCTGTTGATGACGACCATTAATTCTAGTTCACACTGGTTTATACTAACCTCTAGTTTGTATCCTCTGGATAAATACCTGTTGATGAAGACCACTAACTCCAGTTCACACTGGTTTATTCTAACCTCTATTTTGTATCCTCTGTATAATTACCTGTTGATAAAGACCACTAATTCCAGCTCACTTTGGTTTATACTAAGCTCTATTTTGTGTCCTCTGTATAAATACCTGTTGATGAAAACCATTAATTCCAGTTCACACTGTTTTATACTAACCTCTATTTTGTATCCACTGTATAAATACCTGTTGATGACGACCATTAATTCTAGTTCACACTGGTTTATACTAACCTCTAGTTTGTATCCTCTGGATAAATACCTGTTGATGAAGACCACTGATTCCAGTTCACACTGGTTTATACTAGCCTCTATTTTGTATCCTCTGTATAATTACCTGTTGATAAAGACCACTAACTCCAGTTCACACTGGTTTATACTAAGCTCTACTTTGTATCCTCTGTATAAATACCTGTTGATGAAAACCATTAATTCCAGTTCACACTGTTTTATACTAACCTCTATTTTGTATCCACTGTATAAATACCTGTTGATGACGACCATTAATTCTAGTTCACACTGGTTTATACTAACCTCTAGTTTGTATCCTCTGGATAAATACCTGTTGATGAAGACCATTAATTCCAGTTCACACTGTTTTATACTAACCTCTATTTTGTATCCACTGTATAAATACCTGTTGATGACGACCATTAATTCTAGTTCACACTGGTTTATACTAACCTCTAGTTTGTATCCTCTGGATAAATACCTGTTGATGAAGACCACTAACTCCAGTTCACACTGGTTTATACTAAGCTCTATTGTGTATCCTCTGTAAAAAGACCTGTTGACAAAGACCACTAATTCCAGCTCACTTTGGTTTATACTAAGCTCTATTTTGTGTCCTCTGTATAAATACCTGTTGATAACGACCACTTATTCCAGCTCAATCTGGTTTATACTAAGCTCTATTTTGTATCCTCTGTATAAAGACCTGTTGATAAATACCACTAATGCCAGTTAACACTGGTTTATACTAAGCTCTACTTTGTATCCTCTGTATAAATACCTGTTGATCACGACCACTTATTCCAGCTCAATCTGGTTTATACTAAGCTCTATTTTGTATCCTTTGTAAAAAGACCTGTTGATAAAGACCACTAATTCCAGTTCACACTGGTTCATAACTTCTCGATCCTCTTTATTTTAGTGCTTTAAAGTTTCTGTTTACTTTCAGGCCACAGTCTTATACAGGGCACAATTTTTCAGTTTTCTGCAGATGGCTATTTCAAGATCTAACAGACATTTGCATTGCAGGATGGTTGGGTACGTGGCACAGTAGATAATGCACTCACCTTTCCCAAGGTGACTGGGGTTTGATTCCCTGATTGGACCTGAAAAGTTATGGGGTCACCCCACATGGGTTTTCTTTCAAAAGAAATCTTACATGTATTTACTATTTTATATATTTAGTTCTTAATCAAACGTTTTTTTAGGTAAATAAGAGGCTTTCAAATATCTTTTCGAAAGAATTTACATAGTATTTTCCTGCCCAATTTGTTTTGTCACCAATTTGCTTAAAATGATGAAAGTTGTCTGTTAAAGATTCCATCCTGATGCATCATACACAGTATTAGTGTATGTATGCATTTAATATATTAAACTTATTTTTCCAATTTTGTGAAAACAAAGGTACAACATTTTCCCAAACAAAAACGTATAACCGGTAGGTTTCTGTGAAGATTTCTTTTAGAAATCACTGTTAGCTTACCTAATGCTGTATGGCCGCGGGTATTACTCAAAACCTCTCCATGAGTTTTCGGCATTCTGCCTTCTGGAGGAAAATACCTGGTGAAAGACATGAAACAAAACCATTTGCAGGTTTCTTTCTTGCTGAGGTCAGAGCTCATCAGTTCCTTTGCAAAGTAGGTCCAAAGTTCATTCCCTGTCTTGCTGTGAGCTTGTTCCAATGTAAGCTTACTCTGAAATATGTGACAGACAGGTTCCCCACATTCATCCAGTTCCAGATGGAAGTTCTGTCTCCCAAACCCATGTTCTCTCATCTTCTCTGCAGTGAATGTCTGTATCATCATGGCACCCAGTTTGATTCTTTCCAGCGCACTGTTAGGAGAGCAGTCCTCGTCAGCCGGGGCCTGGAAATGGCCATCGTTGTCTGAACAAACAATGTACACTGGACGGACAAAATGGACAAAATGTGGCATTTTACGGATGAGATGGATCGTTGATATTTCATTTTCAAATTTTAAATGTATAACATTTTCTCCAATGCCCAGTCTTACAAGAGCTTTGAATGTTCTGTCAATTACTGGCCAATGTGTTCTTGCATACTGTGGCCATGAGGCGTTCCAAGCTTCCACATGAGTCTGACTGGGAGGTGATGCGGACTCAATCTCTCCAATGATGAGTGGCAGGTGCAGCGATAGGACCTCCCGGTGACCAACATTTTGCACATTAATTCTCATCGTTGTCCCATCTCTCACTCACTTGTTATCTCCACTTCTATCTGAAGAGTTTATCATCTTTGCTTTCTAAAAATAATTTGCTTTAAGCTACTGCTGTCTAAATCTTTTCCGACCTCTGAAACTGTCTGAAAAAATATATTCTCACCACTGTGACTATAAAAAACTTTCCACACTGATGCTATCTAGCGCTCATCCCAATTCTGCATTTTTTTCTGGGGAAAAAGGAACAAAAAGAAACATTGATTTTGATTGTAATTTGTTATATTTTGTGTATCTTACAGAATATATGTACTAAAAATCTAATTAAGTTGTAACTGATAAAAGATATGAGTGTCTGCATATGTTTTTTAAATCCCTAGCAAATTGAAAAGGGTCAATGTTGACTGACTCATTGGTGAATATTGATGATTTCATAACGTCTCAAAACCAGTAAGGAGCCGGTATCTTAAAACTGTCATTTTACAATTAGTACCCTCATGTGAAAACTGTGACATGATCATGACATCATCAAGTCGTCATACCTAAATCCCGGTCTACAACAAGCACCTGTCACGGTAACGTTGAAATGAGTTTAAACCTTACCCAATATCATTTGGTCGTGCGCTGCACATGCATGTTCTCGTGGAGCAAACAGTATTGTTTTGTTTATAGTAAAAACACGCATCATATGGATAAAATGTTAATCAGCACTCAGCGCCCGCACTCAGTGTTTACCGTCGTATCACTTCTTCACCTCACAGCCACAAAAGAGTTCCGGCTTCAGGGATTATCTCAAAATAGTTTTCAAACATAGAAATTTAGTATATTAAAGAAACTATCAAACTAGTATTAATGGCATTGAGATGTGCATTAATTTTAGTTCTTGATAAAACGGTATTAAATTTAAGCTAACGAATAATTAAAACCATATTTTAACTAAGAGAATAATATAAATTTGAAATGTTCAAAATGTTGGCGCTCTTCAGTTTGGAGGTTAAAGAAGTATAACAACACTCTGACACTGGTGATTTTCTATTATTTCTAGGATATGTCATCTCAAAGCGATAGGGACGGTCGGGGAATGAGGCGGAGACCACGGAGGGGAGGAAGGGGAGGCGGGCCGGAGAGACCGCGCAAGGTACCGGAAGTTTCCATGTAAACTGATCAACCACTGTTCAAATGAGTCGATACCGAGGGCCCGCCGGTTCTGGGGGTTCCTGTTACGATACATTAATGTCATTATGACCACAAATATATATTCCAACAGGCTTCTACCATGGAATTAGATGCTATCTAAGTCCGTGTTTCTACCGAATCTTTTCGAGATTAAACTGCAACGGCACTCCTATATGACTATAATCATATGGTGATACATTAAGTATTACAAACCACAGATTTTGGTGAATCTCCGGTATGTTACTATTTGGTGTGTTTGATAAGGCTGATATTTATATTCGCTTAACATTTGTTAATCCATCAACATATTTACAACCTTGGTACTGCCTGCAACTACACATTGTCCTAGTTTTCCAGTGAATCATGTGTAGTGAAAACCATTTGAATATCCTGCACATTTGAACCTTACAACATGATTTGAAAACATTCGTATATTGAGTGCAGGGATTTTTTTTGGGAAACAAAATATTGAGATTTTATTTCCGGAAAAAAATGTCAAGCTAAACTGATAGCACTAACCAGGTAGGTCACTTATGAAGGTAAACTAAATAAAAACATTCTCCCGTATCACACAAAGCCTTATCTTTGATACGGCCTAGGTGTGGATTGACACTTTGAGTACGGGAGACCTTTTTTTTGTATTAATTTTATTTTTCAAAGGTATTTCTTGTACAATATGCATAAATAGATACATTTTGTTTGTTTTCATACTGGAGCTCCCATACACACACTCACTGCATTCACATATACTCACTCATCATTTCATAATGTTTTGTTATCATCATCATCATCACCCCGATATCTTTATCATGACATTGACTTCATCCTCATCGTTATCATCCTCATCAGTAAAATCATCATCATACTGATTTCATCGTCATGAGACTTAAATCATCATCATCATTACATTAAACACTGAAATCATCATCATCCAAGTCAGGCATAAACTTTTTCATTATTATTATTTTCATCATCACGACTGAAGTCAACCTCATTCTCACAATAATATTGATCGTTACAAAATCACACTTGTCATCCTCATCAAACTTATATCATCATCATTACTGAAATCAACATCATTCTCACAATAATATTGTAATCACCACACTGTTGTCGTACACGTCATCATTAAACTGATATCATTATCATCACCATCATAATCATGACTAAAATCAACATCATTCTCATAAAAATACATGTATCATCATCATCACACTGTTGTCGTCATCATCAAACTGATATCCTTATCATCATCATATGACATTTAGGTCATCCTCATCATTACCCAGACATTTTCATCATGACATTGACATAATCTTCATCATAGTTAAATATCCTCATTATACTCTCACCAATTTCATCAACAAGACACTAAAATCATCATCATCATCATCATCATCATCATCGTCGTCGTCATAATCACACTGATTTCATCATAATCACACTCATGCCATCATCAACCTCTAACTGATATCGTCTTCATCGTAACTAACACACTGATATATTCATCATGATACAAAGTAGTTATCACATTGATGTTGTCATCATCATAATAAGCAAAAAAATACCAATTTTATTCACATGTGAGTGTTAATTTGCTAAAGCATATCATATCCCCTGTCTCACACCTTTCATACTTTCTCTCAGCTTATTGGCTCTTTTGATATACATTCTTAACAATTTAAATGTCTTCTGATGTACAGATGTACTTTAGAAAGAAGAGGGAAAGGAAAGGCAACTTTGATACAGTCAATTAAAGAAATATCCTCAGTCATTTCCATTTCAAATCTTGTTGATTCATACAACTATGTGCAGGTATAGGAGGAAATGAGATACAGTCTTCACAAACAGTAAAGTATCCAAGGTTCTTAGGTTGGAGAGAGAGAGAGAGGTGTGGGGGGATAGGATGATGGGAGAGAGGATGGAGATTGGCTACAGAAGAACAATTTATCCCATTAACCTGTCGATCGTAGAGTAACAGTTTTATTATATCAGCTCAATATACTTAGAGTATTCCTATCTATTACTGTTATCCCTTAATTGGTTTTCTACATATAAATCATGAAATTGGGGGTTTTATGGGACCTTAAGAAGGTTTTGCCACTTTTCCCAGTCTTTTTGGAAGGTATGTCTATGATTTTCATCTTTCCCATTCACAATATATTTCTATATCTCATAAGTCTCTTATAAAGTTTTTAAGGCCATTTACTGATAGAGCTTTTTCTAGGCATCTTGCTTTGTAAATATAATATTTTATAATAGGAATAATTTGGTTATCTACCATGTATCGAGTTCTGGTTTGTTCATATATATCAAAGATAAATGTATCCTTAGCAATCCCTATAATATAAATGAAATTGTTAACAGTTAACATGCAAATGCACCTTGCTAAGTTGCTATATTCCTAAATTTGGAAAAATTATATAAATTCATTCCATTAATAATAATAATATTTATTCAGAAAAAGGCAAACACAACAAAACAATTGCATATAAGAAGGTAATTAACAAAGTTGTTATCTATAATCTACCTTTTTTGCCTTACTCTGGGATTAGCCTATCAAAGCCATAGAAAGTGTATTTCCAATGGGGTCCCTAAAACATCCAAGAAATATTTCAACTATCAAGAATGGTATTAATTAATAAACATATTTTTCCTTGTCACATTTTGATACATGTAGTTGGTTATTTTCTAACAAGAACAACACTTTGCATATTATATATGTATACACAGTTGTATAGGTATAAAGAATTAATTTCAAATTCCTTGAAAGTCCATTTAAAAGTACCATTATTGGAATTTTGCATTCAAATAGTATCATATTTAACTTGCAACCCAGTCCTAAAATTAAGGCAGCATCCTTTCAGATGCAAGTGACATATTTTATTAGAACTTTTAACTAAGGTGAAATTGTAACAGCTCTGGAACATTAGATATTGATTACATTCCAGAGGAATATTTCCTTTTGGAATTTAATCAATATTTTACTGCCAAATATCATTATTATATTGATATTTGGCTGTAACTTTACAAACATTTTTTTTTATTGTGCCATGAACACACCATCATGATGCTTGTAAAACATTTCGTAAACTGTAGCTATTCATTTGTATTATGTATAGGAGGAGTATGGAAATGAAACATCTGAGAAACCACGTCCCATCATACTAGCCAAACCAGCATCTCAGGAACAGGTACATCTGTATAGCTAGTATTCAAGTACCTAGAACTTTTATCCAAAAAAATGGCCTTACCTTCATTTTGAAGTTGTCATTATATTATTACAATTTTCCATGAATAACTCGACCAAAGTGAACGGTCACCTATCTGTAGATTTTTTTCAAAGAAGGTTAAAGGAGCAATGCTATAATAGATATTCGAATCAGATAACATTCCTGTCAATATAGTGTAACATGTTAAATCAGGTAACCCTTCCTGTCAATATAATGAAAGATATTATATCAGGAAACCCTACCTGTCAATATAGTGTAACATGTTATATCAGGAAACCCTNTCAGGAAACCCTACCTGTCAATGTTATATCAGGAAACCCTTCCTGTCAATGTTATTTCAGGAAACCCTACCTGTCAATGTTTTATCAGGAAACCCTACCTGTCAATATCGTGTAACATATTATATCAGGAAACCCTACCTGTCAATATAGTGTAACATGTTATATCAGGAAACCCTACCTGTCAATGTTATATCAGGAAACCCTACCTGTCAATGTTATATCAGGAAACCCTACCTGTCAATGTTATATCAGGAAACCCTACCTGTCAATGTTATATCAGGAAACCCTACCTGTCAATGTTATATCAGGAAACCCTACCTGTCAATGTTATATCAGGAAACCCTACCTGTCAATGTTATATCAGGAAACCCTACCTGTCAATGTTATATCAGGAAACCCTACCTGTCAATGTTATATCAGGAAACCCTACCTGTCAATGTTATATCAGGAAACCCTACCTGTCAATGTTATATCAGGAAACCCTACCTGTCAATGTTATATCAGGAAACCCTACCTGTCAATGTTATATCAGGAAACCCTACCTGTCAATGTTATATCAGGAAACCCTACCTGTCAATGTTATATCAGGAAACCCTACCTGTCAATGTTATATCAGGAAACCCTACCTGTCAATGTTATATCAGGAAACCCTACCTGTCAATGTTATATCAGGAAACCCTACCTGTCAATGTTATATCAGGAAACCCTACCTGTCAATGTTATATCAGGAAACCCTACCTGTCAATGTTATATCAGGAAACCCTACCTGTCAATGTTATATCAGGAAACCCTACCTGTCAATGTTATATCAGGAAACCCTACCTGTCAATGTTATATCAGGAAACCCTACCTGTCAATGTTATATCAGGAAACCCTACCTGTCAATGTTATATCAGGAAACCCTACCTGTCAATGTTATATCAGGAAACCCTACCTGTCAATGTTATATCAGGAAACCCTACCTGTCAATGTTATATCAGGAAACCCTACCTGTCAATGTTATATCAGGAAACCCTACCTGTCAATGTTATATCAGGAAACCCTACCTGTCAATGTTATATCAGGAAACCCTACCTGTCAATGTTATATCAGGAAACCCTACCTGTCAATGTTATATCAGGAAACCCTACCTGTCAATGTTATATCAGGAAACCCTACCTGTCAATGTTATATCAGGAAACCCTACCTGTCAATGTTATATCAGGAAACCCTACCTGTCAATGTTATATCAGGAAACCCTACCTGTCAATGTTATATCAGGAAACCCTACCTGTCAATGTTATATCAGGAAACCCTACCTGTCAATGTTATATCAGGAAACCCTACCTGTCAATGTTATATCAGGAAACCCTACCTGTCAATGTTATATCAGGAAACCCTACCTGTCAATGTTATATCAGGAAACCCTACCTGTCAATGTTATATCAGGAAACCCTACCTGTCAATGTTATATCAGGAAACCCTACCTGTCAATGTTATATCAGGAAACCCTACCTGTCAATGTTATATCAGGAAACCCTACCTGTCAATGTTATATCAGGAAACCCTACCTGTCAATGTTATATCAGGAAACCCTACCTGTCAATGTTATATCAGGAAACCCTACCTGTCAATGTTATATCAGGAAACCCTACCTGTCAATGTTATATCAGGAAACCCTACCTGTCAATGTTATATCAGGAAACCCTACCTGTCAATGTTATATCAGGAAACCCTACCTGTCAATGTTATATCAGGAAACCCTACCTGTCAATGTTATATCAGGAAACCCTACCTGTCAATGTTATATCAGGAAACCCTACCTGTCAATGTTATATCAGGAAACCCTACCTGTCAATGTTATATCAGGAAACCCTACCTGTCAATGTTATATCAGGAAACCCTACCTGTCAATGTTATATCAGGAAACCCTACCTGTCAATGTTATATCAGGAAACCCTACCTGTCAATGTTATATCAGGAAACCCTACCTGTCAATGTTATATCAGGAAACCCTACCTGTCAATGTTATATCAGGAAACCCTACCTGTCAATGTTATATCAGGAAACCCTACCTGTCAATGTTATATCAGGAAACCCTACCTGTCAATGTTATATCAGGAAACCCTACCTGTCAATGTTATATCAGGAAACCCTACCTGTCAATGTTATATCAGGAAACCCTACCTGTCAATGTTATATCAGGAAACCCTACCTGTCAATGTTATATCAGGAAACCCTACCTGTCAATGTTATATCAGGAAACCCTACCTGTCAATGTTATATCAGGAAACCCTACCTGTCAATGTTATATCAGGAAACCCTACCTGTCAATGTTATATCAGGAAACCCTACCTGTCAATGTTATATCAGGAAACCCTACCTGTCAATGTTATATCAGGAAACCCTACCTGTCAATGTTATATCAGGAAACCCTACCTGTCAATGTTATATCAGGAAACCCTACCTGTCAATGTTATATCAGGAAACCCTACCTGTCAATGTTATATCAGGAAACCCTACCTGTCAATGTTATATCAGGAAACCCTACCTGTCAATGTTATATCAGGAAACCCTACCTGTCAATGTTATATCAGGAAACCCTACCTGTCAATGTTATATCAGGAAACCCTACCTGTCAATGTTATATCAGGAAACCCTACCTGTCAATGTTATATCAGGAAACCCTACCTGTCAATGTTATATCAGGAAACCCTACCTGTCAATGTTATATCAGGAAACCCTACCTGTCAATGTTATATCAGGAAACCCTACCTGTCAATGTTATATCAGGAAACCATTCCTGTCAATATAGTGTAACATGTTATATCAGGAAACCCTACCTGTCAATGTTATATCAGGAAACCCTACCTGTCAATGTTATATCAGGAAACCCTATCTGTCATTGTTATATCAGGAAACCCTACCTGTCAATATAGCGTAACATGTTATATCAGGAAACCCTACCTGTCAATATAGTGTAACATGTTATATCAGGAAACCCTTCCTGTCAATGTTATATCAGGAAACCCTTTCTGTCAATATAGTGTAACATGTTATATCAGATAACACTTGAGCAAATTTCTATTACGACTTCAGATTTTTGCATGATACAGCTGCAATATTTGTGTTATATAGTGCAGCACCTCCACCACAGCTGCAGCGACCCCTAGTGGTGGTGGACCGGCCACACCTTCAGCACTCGGAAGTAAAACTCCAGAGAAGATGGTGATGCTAAGAAATCGTGATGATGTACCACCAGCTCCCTCTGGGAGCTTGACCAGTATACCAGCATCCTTAACATCTGGTGAAACCCCTCCTCCTCAGCCAACTCACTCTGTACAGCGTAGCCAACACTTTCCATCAGACAGTATGTAGGCATACAGTTGAGGTACACTCTGCTGAATTTGATTTCTTGATTTTTGAGACTTTGAACCAATACAAATAAATCATTAAATACAAAAATGTTAATATTTACATTTAAAACAAAATGGTAGTCCAAACACGGACTTCCTGATGTGTTACTATTGTTGTTGTGTAGGCCCTTTTCTATGTCAAGGTCAGGTTAATTAGAGTTTAAACAAAATAATATGTTTGTGCTTTCCTGGAATGACTCTGAGAGTCTGACCCTGTAACGACACTGATAACATTTGATGAAATATAGTATGTCTTAAGAATTTTTTTTTTTTTTTATTTGGTTAACTGTTTCCCCACCATCATTTGCATTTCATTGTAAAAATGCATTTGTTATGATGAATTAAAAAATTGTGACTAAAAATACAGAAAAAAAGGAAAAAGGATTTGAGTCCTAATGTTGATATTATAGATTTCATGTCAGTCTGCGTAGTTGTTGTTTTTGTAAATATTTGAAACAAATCATGGTTATGTGATCAGAAACTTGTATGGACATGGGGTCAGTACATGTTTTACCCTGTTTCTGAATGACTTCAGACACTCTTGAACCTATCAATATGGTAATTATCTCCCCTTGACAGGTTCCAGCCAGAATCGCCTAGCTCCGCCCCCAGAGATGACAAGATGTACTAAGCTGATTGACGATTCTCAGATGTGGCAAGAATCAGCAATGGAGGTGAGGATTTGAACAAATGTATACATATATTTAAAACACACAGAGATCTCTCCATTCATATGTAATGGTACCATATAAGGAAGCAACGACAAAAAGGATTGGATATATAATGGAAAAGAAACCTTATAAGTAAATTTTATACCAGATTAATTTAAAAAAAATACATATTTCACAAAAAAAAAGGAAAAAATGATTTCAAGGAATCATTTATTTAAAAAATGAAGTTGAAGACATAGAGGTACTAGAAGTATTTAAAGTTTTTGTTTTACTAAAATTCTATCATTAGCTCACCTGGTCCAAAGTAACAAGTTGACTGTCCATCTATCAACAGTTTTTGAAATATTAACCAAATTAGAGTGGAAACATCCCTTGGTGGTGGGGATTCAAAATTTGGCAAATTGCTGACCCCTTCAAGTGGGTGAGGGACATAGCAAGAAAAGGGGTTAATTTGGCCATGTAGTTTTAAACTACTTCTTCTCTAGAACTATGAGATAGATATCAACTTTATTTGGTTAAAAGCATTTTTAGGAAATGGGGATTCAGAGTTGTATGAATGGAGAGAGACTTACCCGATTGAGGACTGAAGGGTGGGACCAAGAATGATAACTTGGCTATATTTTGGCAACCCTATTTTGTTGGAAGCATTTCCTAATCATTAGGAAATGCTAGAGGGACTGACTGCCATAGGGGTAAAGGGATGGGTCCAGAGGTATAATTTAGCCAAATTGGTTTAAGTGACCTCTCTAGAACTTAGAGATTGAAATCAACAAAATTTAATTTAATTTTGGTTTGAAGCATACTCAGGTAGTGGCAATTATAAATTGTACAAACCGAGAGGCTGACCTCCTGGGCTTCTTGTTTTTAGCTCACCTGGTCCGAAGGTAAAACTTTTAATATCCTTCTTCGTCTACCGTAGGAGATAAAGGGATTTATCCTGATTTAGTCTGGAGCATATTTGGCCATTAGTTACCAGGCCAAGGGGACTCAATTTTGTAACAACGGAGGGTGTGGCCCCTGGGAGCAGAGGGGTGCGGATGAATAGCGGAAATATAGATAAAACCTTTAAAATCCTTCTTCTACCATAGGATTAAGGAATTTTATCCCAAATTGGTCTCCATCAAGTTGTCTAGTCTTGCCTGCTACTATCAACATGTAATCATTAAAACAAGATGGCTACCAGGTCGCCATTATGGATTTTGACATTTGAAGTTTGTTCTTGCTATATCTCCAGAAGTACTGGATGGATCTTTCTGAAATTTCTGAAAGTTCCTTTGTACATGTCATTGTGGATCTCATGCCCAACTATAAACAAATTAATTATCTTTTGTTATACCCTCCACAAAGAAGTTAGCGGGGGGTATACTGGAATCACTCTCTGTCTGTAGATAAACATTTGTACTTCCTACACCTCCTAGGGTTATGTATGGATTTTGATGAAACTTGACTTGTTCTACCTCAAATGAACTTGTGTCTCCAAGAACGCTGTTATGTTCCTTCAATAGTTACCAGAGTTATGGCCCTTGACTTCTGTAGACGTTACATTACATTAATGAAATGGCTAATTATCTTGGAAACGGCAGGGATTTTGTATACATATAAACATTGGAATGTTGTAGGCATTAATGAAAGCTACTCCACTAACAAACTTCCCAGGTCTTGGGGTCAAAGGTCACGATTGAATTACATTACTGAAATGGCTAAATATCTTGGAAACGGTAGGTATTTTGTATGCACATAAACATTGAAATATTGTAGGCATTTATGCAATCTTCTCTACTGACAGCTTCCGAGGTCATGGGGTCAAAGGTCATGAATGAAATACGTTACTGAAATGACTACATACACTGGTGGACCCTTACCGTGTATTTTTTTCATTTTTTCGTTTAATTTTCAAAAATCGTTTAGTTGTTCTCTTTTTGTGTGTATTTTTTTGATTATAGTTTATATTTGACGAGTCACCGTTTATTGTTTAAACCGACGTTTATTCTTCGCAGACTTGTGTTTAGTTTTGAGTATAACAGTTTGTTTTATAAATGCATGTTAACTTTTCACGGAACAGAGTTTGTTTTATAACTACATGTTTACTTTTCTTGGCCCAGTGTTTGTTTTATAACTGCATGTTTACTTTTCACGAAACAGTGTTTGTTTTAAAACTGCATGCTTAATTTTCACGGAGCAGTGTTTGCGTGTCAAGGAACAGTGTTCCGTTTTGGTGGAGCGTTGACCTCTCGCGGCAAATCGTTTAATTTTAGCAGAAATCGTTTAATTTACGAATTTCTTTTGTTCTGTCGGGTTCTTTCATGTCTGCCGACCGGCCACGCTCTCGTCCGCGACAGGCCTACCTTATCGGCAGTGTAGTGGCGCGCACCAGCCAAAATTTACCTGAGCTCGGTCAGAGCGCTCACCCATGACGTACGTAGCCGTCGGCTACCGGTAGTCCGAATCGTAAATAGTACCGCTGTAACTGGTTCGTCATTTTCCATTGCATGCACTAAAAGTGACGTTTATGTTACTAAACACACGATTAATCCTTTGTTCTACGCCACCAACATAAAGTGGGCGTTTTCCTTGTTTTACGAAACGTTAGTTTTATTGTACAACATGATCATCGAATCAATGTACCCAAAGTACGTGTTTTATTGTACAACATGATCAGCGAATCGATGTACCCCAAGTACGTGTTTTATTGTACAGCATGATTAAAATACAAGTGAATCAAACTATCCTTAATACGTGATGTGTTGTACAGTATGATTAAAATACAAGTGGATCAAACTATCCTTAGTACGTGTT